ATCACAATTCCACCACATGTGTATATATGTTCCTATGTTTATTTTGCATTTCCAGCAGTTTTTGCTCGTATTCGTATAACATTTTGCTAGCTTCTCGGCGGAGCCATCCTTCCTGAGCTACAACAAAAATTTGTGAGCCGGAGAGGTTAAAAAGCTGTGAGCTAGCTCACACTAACTCAGCTTAGAGGGAACGCTGTTTGGCACCACTGTGTAAACCAGAGGCTCCCAAACTTATTTGGCCTACCGCCCCCTTTTCAGAAAACAGAATTACTCAGCACCCACCCACCCTAGAAATCTACCTTCAAGAAGTGGACAAAAAGATGCAGTTTGTGGATCCGCACCTGGATCGTTCCAGCGCCCCCCCCAGGGGGCAGTATTGCCCACTTTGGGAACCAGTGGACTGTAAACTATACCAGTAAGATGAGGAACAGAAGAATCGCCTGTACCCTTTTGCACTCTCAGAAGGAAGTGAGGGGGGAATCTGGGGAAAACCCAAGAAAGCCGTTTTTAAGGGTGAGGAAACAAGGATTTCACTGGGGAATTGTCCTTTCTTGACTCATAAAATGTGGTTCCTCCTGTGGATTACAGTCATTCCAGGGGGTGGGGTGTTGAGTCCAGAGGCACTTTTAAGGCCAACAAAGATTCATTCATTCATTCATAGAGACAGTTTGGTGTGGTGGTTAAGAGCAGCGGACTCTACTCTGGAGAACGGGGTTTGATTCCCCACTTCTCTACATGCAGCCACCTGGGTGACCTTGGATCAGTCACAAGTTCTCTCAGAGCTGAGGCAGGCTCAGGGCGGCTTACATAAAATGCCTGTATAAATACAATTAAAATCCATCATAAAAAGCAACCCAAAACCATAAGCAAATCAGTTATCCTAAATGATAAAGGCAAAGAAACAGTAAAAAAACAAAAACAAAACACCAGCCAAATATATGGCTACAGAAAACAGGACGGGATGAACGAATAAAGCACACCCCATCTTCTCTTTCTAGCCTGTTACCAGGAGAGGACTGGATGGGCAGCAAGGAGACCGTTATGTATTTCAAAGACAGTCATGGACATGGTAGCTTGTAAAATAGTTCAAGCAGCTTAAAAAAGATAAGAAGAAAACGGTAATGCAGTTGTGCTGAAAACTCGTGCTGAAAACTCAGTCGCCAGACTCTTAAGTATTGCTCAGCAGTTCCATCGTGGCCTATCCAAGGCCACGGACCCGATCAGCTGCGGAGAGCCCTTGAGGTAGGCACAGGGGTGGATCTACTATGAAACTAACAAAGCTTAAACTTCAGGGCCCCTAATCCTGGAGGGGCCCTGAAGCAACATTTTTAAAAATGATTTTCAAAATCATTTTAAATTTTCAAAAATAAAAATAAATGGTGGCTTTTTTAAAAAAGTGCTTGTTATTAAAATAAGGCTATTTTAGTGACAGAATCATAAGCCAATGGGTTGAAGTACTTAATATTGAACTTCGAATACGCTCAATGCCCTTTCCATATTCTTGTTGGATGTTGCCCTGTTGTTGCTGGTTGAGAAGGGGTTCAAGCTTCAGGGTCCCAAAAATGTAGGTCTGCCACTGGGTAGGCAAACCATGAACAAAACAGGCCTGCCTTCCTCGTGGAGCTTTCTAACTTTTCCTTAGTCAGGGGTGGTACTAGGGTGGCACTCTTATGGTTGCCACCTCTGGGATGGAAATTCCTGGAGGTTTGGAGGTGGAGTTTGGGGGAAGTGGGGTTTGGAGAGAGATGGGACATTAGGAGGGTATAATGCTGTAGAGTTCACCCTCCAAAGAAGAAGGCAAAGAGATTGGATTTATACCCCGCCCTTCGCTACCCGAAGGAATCCCAGAGTGACTTAAAATCTTTCCCTTCCCCTCCCCACAACAGACACCCTGTGAGGTAGGTGGGGCTGAGAGAGCTCTCTCAAGAACTGCCCTTGAGAGAACAGCTCTGAAAGAACTTGTGACTGACCCAAGGTCACACCAGTAGCTGCATGTGGAGGAGTGGGGAATCAAACCCGGTTCTCCCAGATTAGAGTCCGCGCTCTTAACCACTACACCAAACTGGCTCTCACACACTAACAGTTCCTTTAATGGCATTTCATAAAAGTAACTGGCTCTCAAAGCTTCCAGAGACATTGATATCTATAATCTGGAGATTTGTTCTAGGAGCTCTCTGGATGCTACCATTTTGGCTTCTTAAAGAGAATCATTCCGAGGGTGCATCTCAAGGAAAGGTATCCCAGTTTATCATACTTGCACTTGCAAACATTTCTTATGCTTTGTGTGGTTCAGTTGCAGGTGACACCAGTTTCCAAGCCTTAGGAGCTCTTGGACAATCTCAGTGGACTTTGGCACATCAGGACAGCTGCTGGCATATGGCTGCTCACTGTGCGTCATGAGCCATCTGAGGATGAGGAAATGGAAGAGTCCGTCCTTGCACTGGTAGAGTGCACGCCCGAACAGCTGGCTTTAGAGACAAAGCCAGCAAAAGACGCATCAAGTGACAATATCTTATCGATCTCTGACGTAACATCGTACCCCAGGAAAAGGATTCTGTCAGTTAACGCCGTGTTTTAGTGAAGCAAAATGTTATTACTACTCTTAACAATTAAGATTATAATTGAATATGTAATGTAAATTGGAATGGTAGATTGAAATGTAGTTCTCTGTTTTGGGGAGAAGGGAAATAGTCTACACAGCTAAGATGCTGTAAATCCAGGTAGTCACCTTCCATTCCAATGTATTTGGGAAAGTGTGCCTTGCACACAAAAGCTCATACCTTGAATAAACCTTTGGCTGCGATCATACACACAATTAGACCCGACATAGGTGTGAATGCCAGGTGGATTTAAAGGGCGTGATCGGACAACAACATCTGGGAAGCGCCCCGACCCGTCGGCAGCCGTCGGCAACCCGTTCTGCTCTGCCACAAAGAAATCAGGGGAAATCCGGTAGTTAACGGGTTGCAACAGGCCACAGATGGACTTTCCCATGTCTGATTCCTCCAGTGCGCTCTCATGTTGTCAGGATGGTCTGATCAGGTCATCCCGACTGTGTACCATTGGTCCCCCCCCATCATGACCCCGCAGGGGGTCGCCACCTTCCGCTGCCACCACTCTGGACTTCGGCTCCCTTGAGAAGGCCCAGAGTACCCTTCCAAGCCCATCCAAAATACCCCCTTTTAAGCCGAGAACATAGGCATGACGACCAGGCAGAGAACAATTGAACAAATGGTTTATTAACACAGTACTGGGGCAAGGGAAACAAGACAAGGTGCTTTAAAATATATAACAGTGTTTAAAGGCAAAATAAACAAATCTAACGCGACTACCTAGTTCACTTAACTGCTTACTACTTCAAGGCCCACAGTCTGCCAGGCCTCTACCTGTACTCACTCTGTCCCAAGTGAGGGATCTTTCTCCTCAGACCAGACTGTCCCCTCTGTGAGACAAGACCACAGAAGAGCAAAGGACACCGTTTCATGGCCCACAGAGCTTAGGTTTCATTCCCCTCACACAATCTCTGTACACTGATTGGCTACGACCATTGCTAAGCATTGTGGGGGTTGTAGGCAATGCTCCCTCTAAGCTGTGGACCGTTGTGAGCAAAAATTCTACTTTGTGAGCTACTGACATTAAAGTTGTGAGCAAGCGATTTGGCTACTGCATAATTTAGTTTCCGCTGGAACCATCTTTCCTGAGCTGAGACAAAAATCTGTGAGCCGGAGGCTAAAAAACTGTGGGCTAGCTCACATTAACTCAGCTTAGAGGGAACACTGGTTGTAGGCTGTCTGCTCTCCACTCCCACACAGGCCTCTAGGCCTTTCTCCCAGGCCTAGACATATCATGACACCACCCTTCACAGTATGCGCATCATCGCAAACTCCATAGGGAGCCCTCGGTACAGAGGTGCGATTCATCAATCCCTCGGCCCCCCCCGTTTTTTTCTGGCACATGTGACCACAACCTTTGTTGGTCTTAAAGGTGCCACTGGACTCTAAATTTGTTCAAGATGCTGTAAAGTTCGCCTCTATGCTAGAAAGGAGATGGATGGGGGTCTAAGGATGGGATTCTCACAATTCAGGGCACATCAGTCTCCAGTTCTGACATATTTATTACCTATGTTGTCCCCCCCCCAGCTGAACCCAAACAGATGATAACCAGAAACCCAACTTGTCACTCTTTTGATCTGTTAAAAAATATATACCTTCACTATTCTGCATGCTAATTTAACAAGACACCCCTATATATACAACTATGATCTGTAATTCCATTTCATCGCCTGACAAAGTGTGCGTGCGCACGAAAGCTCACACCTCGAATAAAACTTTGTTGGTCTTAAAGGTGCCACTGGACTCTACCTTTGTTCAGGTGAGAAGGGTTCCTCATTCTGGCTGGAGACGAGAGAAATGAGACAGAGGTCAGAGTGCCACTCACGGCCTCCGTCTTATCCTCTGGCTCCCATCCAATCCCGTTTATGGATTAGTCTGTTTTACTCTCTTTCTCTCTCTCTCACTCTCTGAATGCATGCTGTTTGTGCCATATATTCCTCTCACTAATCCCCTAGTTTGGTTTTCCAATCGATACCTGCTTATTCCCTGGGACCTCCCTGTTTTTATACAAAGCGCTGCCTGGATCCAGAACCCTTATATACACCTGGCAGTAGATTCCAATACTAAGAAATGCCCAGGATACACATGAAGGGACGCGCTTGACACAGAAGGGTGGGAGGACACTGTTATCGTCGGGGTAGCAAATTATCAGCACGGGTAAAAGTTCGCAGGCAAGACTTTTGGCGAATGACTTCCTGCCGCATTGATTATGTCTGTAACTCCACCGAAGATCGCTTTCAAAATATCAGGGACACACTGCCCGACATGTTGGATTTCGTTTTGCATTTCACGGGCCTGCTGCTGGTGCCCTTCTTCCAACAGTCGTTCTAGTTCCTGCAAAGGTGAAGAAGAAGAAGAGAAGAGACTGGATTTATACCCCGCCCTTCATTACCTGAAGGAGTTCAAAGTGGCTTACAGTCTCCTTCCCCTCCCCTCAACAGACACCCTTTGAGGCAGGTGGGGCTGAGAGAGCTCTTTCAAGGACTGCCCTTGAGAGAACAGCTCTGAGAGAACTTGTGACTGACTCGAGGTCACGCCAGCAACTGCATGTGGAGAAATGGGGAATCAAACCCAGCTCTTCCAGATTAGAATCCGTGCTTCTAACCCCTACACCAAACTGGCTGGCTGTCGTGAGGACAACAGTCTGTGTTCAACTCAGGTGTGGTGGCAAATAGAAGAAAATGGTTTCATCCCACAGATCCATTCCACTAGTGGAGCGACTGTCCTCCAGTGGAAGGACCCGTCATCTGTTGCAACACGCTTGGAAGAATGTTTGGCATCCAGAGTGGGATCTTTCTGCTAGAGAAAAGCACCTCTGCCAGCAGATCTGCCGCCACTTGGGTAGAATCAGGGCAGGTGCGGGCCTGTATATTCACATTAGCTTGTTCCAAGGACATGAGGCTGCTCCCCAAGGGACAGGGAGGCCCCACTGCGGAAGCATTCAAAACTGGGGTGAAGTGGGGCGGCAACAGCATCCACATGCCCTGCCCCATACCTTTATCTGCAGTCAACCCCTCTTCTAACTCCTGGCAAAAAAAACAACCCTTCGCCCTTCTCAGCTGAGCTGTGGTGTAAAGTTAAATGTTGTTGTTGTTTCAATTTGTACCCCGCCCTCCCCAGAAACAGGCGCAGGGCGGCTTACATTGGTGGGTACAAAAATAACCATTACAATCCATAAAGAAAAAACATTTAAACAATTCCGAATAAGAATGTACAATCCTAAAATCATAAAGTGCTGGGAATATTTCCTTAGATATTTCAGATGTCGCACTGAAGAGTGCATACAGACAAACAGTTTTTCAGCTCAGTGACCCTCCTAAGCCACGCGGCGGCACAGGCCAGATGTCAAATTAAAAGTAAGGGCCAGGATCTAGACTACGATTGTTGGTAGGAGTAGTAGTAATAGTGAAGGTGGCTCCTTAGTCGAAAGCCTGGCGGAAGAGCTCCGTCTTGCAGGCCCTGCGGAACTGTAAAAGATCTCGCAGAGCTCAGCTGCAGTGGGGCGGGAACCCCTGTTAAGGAGCTAAACGGGAGGAAGAGAATGTGGAGCTTGGTTTCCCCTCTCCCTGGACTGGCGTCCGTATGAAATCTCTGCCAACACTCACCTCGTAGTTTCCCTGTCAACCTGGACTTAAGAGTATTTTCCATTAGCCTAGCCCATCATGGAAGAATACGGGAGCTGCGGTCATCATGCCTGGATTGGGCACAGCATTTTGTGGATGCTCCACAGTGGACGCAGGCCCATAGCCATGGTGGGGCACGCGGGGGGAAGGCAGAGCCCCACCATAGATGAGCCCTACCCCACCCCGGAAGGATGCCAGACCCCCTAGATCCCCCACCCACAGCAGTGGGGAGGCTGGGGAAGGAAAGGGGAGCCGCCCTGACGCTTCTGGTCATTTCCACTCCTCATTCATCAGCCCTAAGCTTTAACAGCTAATCTCAGGGAGTGAAACTGACCAGGAGAGCAGGGTGGCTTCCCTTCCCTTCCCTTCCCCAGCCTCCCTGTGGCTGCAGGGGAGAGGTGCACTGGGGGGGGGGGGTCTGGCATCCTCCCGGGGTGGGGCAGGGCTCATCAATGGGTGGGGCTATGCCCCCAAATTCCCCACTGTGGCTACGGGCCTACCTCTACTGAGTTCAGGAGCATGCCTTCTCTCTCTCTCTCTCTCTCTCTCGTTCTGTCTCTCTCGCTCTCTCTCTCTCTCTCTCTCTCTCTCTCTCTCTCTCTCTCTCTCTCTCCTTCACTACTCCCCACCTCACATGATATTTGGGTAAACTAATTAAGCTCCCTGATCCCCTGCCCCACCAGCCAAAAATCCCTGGCTGCGGGGCTGAGTGGAGGTATCCCACTGTCCACAGAGGAAGCTCCCACGTGGGAGCAGCCATGCTGATTTTTGGCATATTTCCAAATGACAGAAGCTTTGTGAAAACCAAATTTGTCCTACCAGCTAGACCAGCTGGTATTTTGGGGAGTTAATAAATATTGTGGAAGATCTGAGGAAGCACAACAGGTTCAACCCGCCGCCCCCCACCCGCAGGGCTCTTTTTGTAGTAGGAACTCCTCTGCATATTAGGCGACACACCCCTAATGTAGCCAATCCTCCAAGAGTTTACAGAGCTCTTCTTACAGGGGCTACTGTAAGCTCTTGGAGGACTGGCTACACGAGGGGTGTGTCGCCTAATATGCAAATGAGTTCCTGCTACAAAAAGAGCCCAAAGTATGAGCCAAGGCGTTCTCATTTTAGCTTAACCATGGTCTTGCTAGGTGGCTTGTTAGGTTACTCAGCACCCTCCTCTATCAAGTATGGATTGGCCTGCCTTGCGCAGTTACCATAAGGAATACTGACCTAATGCATGAAAATGGCTGTTGTACTTAGAGAAAGCACTACGTAAATACCGTGATCTACTATGAAATCTGACATCTATTAGGCAACCTGGTCATGAAGAAGAAGAAGAGACTGGATTTATACCCCGCCCTTCACTACCCGAAGGAGTCTCAGAGCGCCTTACAGTCTCCTTTCCCTTCCCCTCCCCACAACAGACACCCCATGAGGCAGGTGGGGCTGAGAGAACTCTTTTGAGAACTACCCTTGAGAGAACAGCTCTGAGAGAAATTGTCACTGACCCAAGGTCACACCAGCAGCCGCATGTGGAGGAGTGGGGGATCCAACCCACTTTTCCAGATTAGAGTCTGCACTCCTAACCACTACACCAAACTCTTAGTGGGTCTGCGTGGGCCTGGAGGAGCTCTCATTACCTTGCCCTTGTTCTCCACCATCCTTTCCGTCTCCTCTTTCCACTCCTTCTTCTCCTTTTCCATCTTCTCCATCAGATCCTGGAGTTGTTTCTTGTTTATCTCCTCCTGATCCTTCTTGATTTGCTCCAGCCTGTCCTTCTCTTCTTCCAGGAGCTGCTGTTGGCGTTGGGCCTCTTGGACGCGGACACGTTCAGCTGTGTTTCAGAGGAGAAAGGGGAAACGCGAAAAGCTAGCAGTCAGAGAAACCATGCAAGGGGCACAGCGCAAGCTAAGGCTTTGACGCAGTGATCCTCAAAGTGATGGCCGCAGGCATCACGACACTGCCTGTGAGCTTCCTGATGCCTGCTTGCACCTTGACTTTTAAGGATAAAATCCAAAAGGTCTTGAACAGGGGAAAAACAACAAGAGACAACTTTGGGTCAGTCCTGCCCATTGCCTGACTAGCTGAACTCTGGCCCTGTCCACACGAGGGGTTTTGGGCCGGGAGTGGGCCGGATTGGGGCCGCAGCAAACAAGCGCGATCCCACAGCACCATCTGGGAATCGTGCTGCGCCCATCCCCAATCCGGCCCTTCCCACGAAGATACGCATCAAAAAAAGAACCACCTACCTAGGTGGTTCTTTCAGGCCGCCCGCATCAACGCCGGCTGTGGGATCGCCGGCCCGTCTTACTGCTGGCTCATCCCCGGCTCTTGCCTGAACTGCGCATGTTCTGACATGCGCAGTTCGCCAGTCTCCCATTCCCCTCCGTCCCTTCCCCCGGTATCTGATCGTGCCGGGGAGGGAATGCGCCACAGCTCAAGGGATCAATGTGATCCCGCCGCAGCATGTTTCTTTTGATGCGGCATTCAAAAGCCGCACTTCAGCCCGTCCCTTTCCCCCCCATGTGGCAGGGACCTCTGAGTGGTAACCAATGCTCCCTCTAAGCTGTGGAGTCTTGTGAGCAAAAAATCTACTTTGTGAGCTGCTGGCATTCAAGTTGTGAGCAAGCGATTTGGCCTACCACATAAATTAGTTTGCTCTGGAGCCCTCCTTCAAGCTAAGACAAAAAATGTGTGAGCTGGAGGTGATGGATTTTGGCCTAGCCCGACTAGGCCTCCAACAGTCTTATAGCAAAGACCCCAAAAGCACAGAGGCTTTGACTAACTTATTCGCATTTGCTGCAAGAACCAGAGGTTACTGATTAAGCCTTTAGCCATTAGCTGTTATGCCTAGTCTCTTAACTATGCATACTAATTGATGTGCACCTGTGGAATACCTACATAGAAGTTAAAATTACTTCAAAGGATTGGCATCCAGGGAACCCAGGTGTGCTTGGGTGGGACACTAAATCGGGAAACTTGCATTAGCCTTTGATAACATAAAAGCAGATAACATAAAAGTACAAGAACCTGGCAGAGGTGAAATGTCAAGTCCTCAGGATAGATCTTAAGGACACGTATCCGTAGGAAATAACCATACAAGGATTATGCCTCTGCTTGTTGAAATTGTATATTAAGCGAAGATGTAACTTCATGCTCTTCGGAAAAACCCTTTGCAAATTTTCCCCGCTTTGCTAGCAATAAAGCTTTAACTGAAATCTTCTGGGTCTCTAGCTCCCTTGTGTTTCCTAATCAGGATACAAGTACATGAGGTCTCTATACCATAGTGCTAGGTGGGTAGCCCATAGATCAGAAGCAATTAAAGATGTGAATAGCTGTGTGCTAGCAATAACCCGTTTTTTTTTTTTTAACCAAGGTTAATCAGTATGTTCCTGTGGCCCTAAAAGTGTTTGAACATAAAATTGGAGCAAAGCTTCTTTATGGGGTGCCCATTTGGATTACTGCTTTTAACAAAATGGTAGAACAACTTCAATCCAATTTTGTGAGGAAAATACTAGGGCTCTCTCTGTGTGTTTCTTATGCTGCCATTTGTTTGGAAGCCAATTTGATAGGTTTGGAAACAAGGGCTTGGATAATTACTTTTAGATTTTGGTTACGTCTGCATTTCAGGAGCTGTCCCAATAGCCTTATTCCATATCTGCTGAAAGAGTCTCATTGTTCTAAGTGGTTTGCTGCTATAGAAAGGAAAATTGTCTCAATAGGCTTATGCCTGAATGATATGATGTCATCTGAAATACACATCTTTGCTCTGCTCAAACAGAGAGTAATTGATATTGAAATGCAAGAGCTTAGAGCTTTGGCTTCTGGTAGATGTTCCCCTGTAAGATGGGCACGCTTTCCGATCAACGCCCCAGCACAATACTTAGCGGATCTGACTTCCCCACAGCTGCGTAGAGCATTTATGCTGGCTCGATATAATGTGCTCCCCTCTGCGGTTTTAGCAGGAAGATTTAAAAAAATCCCCTACTCTGTAAGGTTCTGTGATTGTGATTCAGAGGAGACTGAAACAATCGAACATGTATTCCTCTATTGCAGTTTGTATGATGACATTTGGGAAGCCTATCTAGAAGATATTCTTAAGAATGATGCCAAGCAATCCGATGACAGAAGGTTGTATCGTTTATTGGCTTCACAAAATATAGCGGTTATTGAAGCGGTTGCTAAGTTCTGTAACTGCCTTATAATGAGGAAGCTGTGTGTCAAATCCATGAACTGAATGGCGATTGTGTATGATTATGATCTATGCCAATAAAGGTTTTGAACTTGACATGAGGTCGCTATTGAGGTAACAGAGTCTAAAAAACTGTGAGCTAGCCCACACTAACTCAGCTTAACAGTGGGTCATTTCCACATGGGTTATTTGCCCTGGGTTTCAAGCTATTGGAAAGTGGATTTCCCTCCCCCCAGCTTTCCCACAGCATCATATTGCAGTCACACACCTCTTGGGGTTTCCTTGGTTTGTCTCTGCTATTTCCTAAACCTGCTTTCCTGTGCAGTTTTGAGGAAAACACAAACCAACAAACAAATTGTTAACCTTAAAGGTGCCATGGTGTAGCAATAATAATATTAATCCAGATCTCACCTTCAATTTCCTTCTCTTTTTCACTCAGAGCATTGTCTGTCTGAAGGATTGATTCCGCCACGCTCTTCTTGGATTTTAGGAACTCTTCAAGGGCCTTCTTGGCCTGATTGGGAGCAAAATGGACTGATGTTGCCCAGTAACAGGAAAACTGAGAGTAATTTTGGGTGTGCATTCAAAAATTCAAAAACAAGTCCAGTGTGTGGGGGCTGAGGTAAAGAAGAAGAAGATTGGATCTATACCCCGCCTTTCACTACCCAAAGGCGTCTCAGAGCAGCTTACCATCTCCTTTCCCTTCCCCTCCCCACAACAGATGCCCTGTGAGGTAGGTGGGACTGAGAGAACAGCTCTGAGAGAACTGTGACTGACCCAAGGTCACACCAGCAGCTGCATGTGGGGGAGTGGGGAATCAAACCCGGTTCTCCCAGATTAGAGTCCATGCTCCTAACCACTACACCGAACTGGCTCACCACTGGCTAAACCACTGTTGTTTATCTCAGAGGCCTGGCCCAGGCCCATAGCCAGGTTTTTTTAAGTTGGGGGGCATTTACATTTCTTAGGGGGCACTGGCTAATCAAATTAAAGCAATACCTGGCTCCTTCCCTGCACCTGCCACCGCTTGGGGGCCCTGAGAAGTCGTGGGGCCTTGCCAGTAAGTCAGGGGGCCTAGCCCCGAGACGCCCCACTGTAGCTACAGGCCTGGCCAGGCCTGTGTTCAGAAAAATTCAGCAGGTTTTGTGAATACAGCTGACAGCTCCCAGGGATACCATGACCAGGAAGTTCTTCCACCAACCTGCTACCTGAGGTTTTGTTGTTTTTTTTAAATGGAGGTATCAGGGATTGGATCTGGTGAAGTTCTTCAAGCCAAGTATGAGGCTCACCCCTAGAGTAATTAGGTAAACGATTGTTTTGACACAGTAGAAGACAGCGGTTCA